ATCTGAGCAACCCTCTGCTCCAGCCAAAACAGCGGCTTTAAGATTGATGGTGCTTTTCTGACTCTGCACCAAGAACCGCCACACCAAGGCAGCGGCAAAACCGCCTCACCGGCCTCAAGAGTCACGCTGGCGACACGTGGGGCTCCTCCGCTGGGAATCTCCTGATGTGTGAGCAACAAAAATTGATCTGAAAGTGTGGCGTCCTCTCGTTCTCTGCTCTTTCAGTGGGAGCTGCAATCCCCAGCTGCTAGTGATCAGCCATCTTGGATCACAGTTATATTTCTGACGCTTCCCGCTCTCCTCCAGAACTTGAAGGAAGCAAGTTCCTCCCAGCATCCTGCTCCTAACACTACACTTAGCACTCACTGATGTTGCCCAAAGGCTTAGGACAGTGCCTTGCATGTAGCAGGCCCTCAAAAAGTACTTGTTGGATGAATAGTGAGTCACATAACATCAGGCATATGACTTCCTCCACTCCATATCACATCTGTTTGGCAAGGTATCTGACCCACAGTAGGCATCCAAGAATGGGGTAGCTTCTCCAGCAGATTATGTTTACTGAGCACTTAATCCTCTCGCTTTCTATCCATGGCATGGGTGCCATGGATGTGTTGCATGCAGCTGCTGTGCACAGGGCTACTTCGCATCTGTTCTTGCATGCTGCCTGCACAGGGATCTAGTGATGTGATCCACGGTGGGCTGCCCTGTGGTGATTTCTAGTCTCTGCTTTGCTGCCACACCTCCTAAAGCAAGCTCCTCTCTTATGGAGAGAATGTTCCATGTGGGGCTCTCAAGATGACAGGAGGCCCCTCTTCTGTTTCATCTCGAGTTTGCTTTTGACTGTAGGGGGATATGGGCTCAATTTATTGGAAGAAAGTGGTACTGATGACCTCCTCGCCCAGACCCTGTTCCACAGATATTTGTGGGTGCAGCATTCTCTTCTCAGAGGCAGAAATGGCCTCAGCAGGCCTGTCTGCACTTGCCTTCCTGTGCTTCCTGGCCCTCTGTGGCCATAAAGCCATGCCTAGTCCATTCCAAGTCTTCTCCCCTGAGTGCTAATTAACCCTGTGCTATGGAGATGGACAGGACAAGAACATCATGTACATAAACCTTAAAAAGATATAGGAAACCAGGGGTATGACACAGCCTCTACCTTCCCCTGATGTCAGTGACTGTGTGCTCTTCAGCTCTGAATCCCCAGCACCTGGCACCCTAATAAATGTTTGTTAGGTTTAAATGAATGAATGAATCTCAGCCTTGCCCCAATTCTCAGAGCAATATGAGTTCTAGGCAGGGAATTCTGGGAACCTACTCACTCACTGCACTTGAGGTTTGGTATAGACTCACCTTCCCTGGCTGGCTGGCCCAGGCCATAGTCACTCAGGCCAGGGCTTCTGGGCTGTACCCCTTGTTCCATTGGCTGTAGATCTGGCATAGTCCAGAGTGGATTCAGGCTGGGCCCCAGAGAACTAAAACATCCATGCTTATTTCTGTCCTAGGGCGGGCCCTCTCCCCTCTGTCTCCTTCGATTCTCTTTATATCATCAGGATAGTGTAAGTGAGAGCAGCTAGGGCTCACAGGCATGTAGGCTAAAAGGAAGGGCAGGATACAGGAAAGAAAGGTGGGGCTGGGCCTCTGTCTCCACGGGGCCCCTTTCCATGCCTCCCAGCCTCCGACCACCTATATTCTTTTTCTCCTTACAGGCTCCCCTGGCCACACTGGCTCTACATCCATGAGCCCGTCGGCAGCCTTGTCCACGGGGAAACCAATGGACAGCCACCCCAGCTACACGGACACCCCAGTGAGTGCCCCACGGACTCTGAGTGCAGTGGGGACCCCCCTTAATGCCCTGGGCTCTCCATATCGAGTCATCACCTCTGCCATGGGCCCACCCACAGGAGCACTGGCAGCCCCTCCAGGAATCAACCTGGTTGCCCCACCCAGCTCTCAGGTAGGTGTTCTTCCTCTCCAAGGCCTTTCCAGCTGTCTTATGTGGTTTCACCCAGGCTGCCCCTGGAGCAGAACCAGCACTTAGCATGTGTGTAACGCGTGCTTGCTGAAGGGGTTGGATGGTGTCTGCAGATGTCCCTCAGGCAGGGTCTTCATTGTGTGTGTCCTCAGGCTGAGTAGTCCTGAAGACCTGATGACTCCTCATGGTCCAGGAGACTGACCAAAAGGGACCCTCCCTTGTGGTTTTAGTAGTTCAACACTGGCTGTGATTTCAACATCTCTAGGGTTGTTTATGGACAACTCGCATCAGCAGAGTGGACCCCTTTTATTCCTCTCAATTCAATCATGAGCATTTATTGAGTCACTGAAGTGCCATGTGCTCTTGTTAAAGGTAATGCAGAAACGATCAGGGTATGGTCATTGCTCTCCAGAGCTTACAGCTGAGAGGAGAAATAGGCAGGTATGGCAGTGGACAAATTGACAGCAAGGCACACTGTGTTGCATGCTGTCTCTAAAACTATGGGAAGTGGAGAAGGAAATTTTACCTACGTTAATTTCGAGTGCCTTCTGTCATGAAGGAGGAGAAGAGGTATGTGTATGGTTCATGCTAGGTTATTACTCTGCAGAGCCTATAGGATGGCCAGATGTCTTTACTTCATTCTAGCAATGCCACACTAAGGTCATCACCTTTCCCCTCTTGTAGTGGTTGGCTCTTGCTGCACTAATGCCACATAACAAAAATCCTCAAACACTTATCTTCTCACTCATATGCCTACCTTAAGCTAGGATAGATGGCTCTGCTTCAGTTGGTGGGTGAATAGATTCAGCTTCAGGCTCATCATGTCCCATTGTAAAGGAGCAGTAGCTACCTATGGCATGCTTTTCTCATGGGGTATCATACAAGTACAAAAGTCCAAACCCAATCCAGAAAGCACAGTGAAGTCTCTGCTCAAATCATGCCCACTGATATTCCATCAGCTTAAGAAAACCGTATGACTGATTCCAACATTGATGGGGGAAGGAAGAAAGCTGTGTCTATACTAGCGGGAGGTACTACAGAGACACGATGCAAAGAATATGAAGGATTAGAAGGAGTGAAGTATTAGGAACAATAATCCCATCTGCCACACCTTCTTCTTTTCCTGTGTAATAGCAAGGATCTCTGCTGCCTCATCTACCAGCATACCTAGAGGCAGAACTGGCAGGTTCTTAGGATGGCAAAATTTATGTGTCAACTTGACTGGGCCATAGGATGCCCTCATATTTGGCTAAACATTGTTCTGGGTGTTTCTGTGAGGGTGTTTTTGGATTAGATGAACATTTAAATAAGGTAGACTGAGTAAAGGAGTTTGTCCTCCCTAATGTGAGTGGGCATCATCCAATTAGTTGAAGATCTGAATAGAACAAAAAAGCTCACCGTCCTCTGAGTAGCAGGAAACTTTCCTGCCTAATGACCTTTGAACTGTGACATTATTTTTTTCCTGTCTCTGAACTTGAACTGAAGCATTTGCTCTTCCTGGGTCTCAAGCCTGCTGGCCTTTGGACTATGCCATGAGCTTTTTTGGGTCTCCAGCTTGCTGACTCACCCTGTGGATCCTGGGACTTGTCAGCCTCCATAATCATGTGAGACAATTGCTTATAATAAAATTTTAAACACACACACACACAAACACACACACACACACACACACACACACTCCTCCTGTAGATTCTGTTTCTCTGGAGATTACTAACACAGTCCCAAAGTGTCCTTTGAATGTAGTTTTGTAGTTTTTAAGAAGAGGCAGGGCTCCTTTTATGTTGGCATTTTCTGCTACTCCAGAGAGAGAACGTCAGTGACCATACCTGGAGTCTCCTCTGAGACAACTCATATTCTAGGGGTCTGAAAGCAAATTCATATGGAGTTATAGCATAGAGACAGTAAGGACTTCAAAAATGTGTTGCTCCATAGAATAGATAATTTGGAGACGGCCTGAGAGATCAGCTAGTGTAGGAATTACAGGAGCTGGGGCCAGTCGGGTAACACAGGTGAGTGAACAAGGAGTGTGTAAGTGAATGAGGGCAGGTGTGGACTGTGGAGAGCTGCCCTGCTCCCTCAAAGCTGTTCAAAGTCAAAGACTTTTAAAGCATTCCTCAGGCCAAATAAACTACTTTATTGGGTCTAATTTGGCCAGTTATCTTCACCCCAGTTTCTAATCTTATGGTTCTCACCTGCAGGACCTTTTTCAGAGTACACATTTCTCCCTCATCCCATATTTTGGCCCTTGTGAAGGAAGCAAAAGCCCCACAGGGGATCCTCACGGCCCTACTCCTGCTCAAATGAGGATTGCTCATTCTATCCAAATCCTTTCTTCCACAAATGAAGTAGCAAGACTTGGGGAGCCCAAGTGACTTGTCCAGCCTCACACAGCCACAAAAACAGAGCCACAATGAGGACCTGTCCCCTGGCCTGCAGCCCTGTGTTCACAGCTCTGATATATGCTGACTTGCACAGTGACCCCAAGATCTTCCTACTGGTTGCCAAGGATTAAAAGATGGATAATCAGTGCTCCCAAGGAATCTTATGGGAGAGGTGGCCACATGATGCAGATACACCGAACTTGGGTGCTGCATGTATGCTGTCAGGGGGAGACCTGAAGGGAGCAAAGAGAAGGACCTATAAATTGCTCGGTATATATTCCTTGACCCCAGTGAGAGGGTAAAAGTGCGCAGAGGAGTGGGGATGGGGAAGCAGAAGGGGTGTACATGCATTTATGCCACTCCTACGTACCGTAATCATCAGGGCCGTTGATACCCTATGCTTCATAATGTGTGAAGTTGGTTTATTACCTTTCTTTCCTGTGAACAGAGTTCAGGAAGGCCAGTAAAATCTGGTAGTTAGAGACAGAAAATACATTGAAGTTTTGGGATGAAAGTACAGTTTTGCAAAAGGCATTGGCATTCATCCCAGTAACTATTTATGTGGACCTACTATGCATCAGGTTCTAAATTTTAGTGTCCTAAGTTTTAGGGATAAGCACGGAATAAGGTGGGCAAAGTTTGTACTGTCATGGCACTTACACAATAGCAGACAGGAAAGACAAAAGCCTAAGGAATAAACAAGATAGTTTCAAATAAAAGTCACAGAATCTAAAAAGAAATAAAATAGGGGGAGGTGGTAGACAGATCCTGTGGGTAGGAATTGGGCAAGGCACCATCCCTCTAAGGCTGCTTTTAGCAACCACACTCAAGTCTGATTGAGCCAAGCCTGGCTAGTCAATTCATCCTCAGAGCTGTGTGAGTAGCAGGGCCACTATTCCTGGACCGTATGTCTGTACAGAGGGATTGGGGTTGAAAGGTCAGATGGAAGCTTTGGTCCTGGCCAACTGGGCTGTGTGCAGAGGCCAAGGCCAAGTTTGGCTTTGGGGAGCTATATTAAGCTTGCCAAGTGCTGGAGAAGCTCAACAGCCTGAGACCCTGAGCAGTGTTCTGGGCTTGGGCTCCTTGAACCACACAGCAGCAAAGCTTTGCCCAGTTAAGACGACACCAGACCAAGGCCTTGGTATTAGCCACAGTGAGCTGGACCCTGTGGATCATCTGGGCAGATTATTAATATGCACCCTGCCTTCCTTGCCCAGGACTGGGCTGAGAGGGATTCATGATGGAGGGATGTTCATTCTGTGACCTGGGTCTTGGGTAAGTACGATTTGGGGGTGTGGGGAGGAGGAAGTGTCTAGGGGTGGGGGCAGCAGGCAGGGCCAGTTTCCTACTCTGTGCTCTGTCATTTCGTTGTTTGAGCTTCTCTTTTTGCAGCTGTTGGATTTTTTTATCTTGAGGAGTAAAGAGATCAGAACTGGTACGATGAAGGCAGGAATTGTGCAATCTTTTGCAAACCACTGTAACTTGTTTCTGTTTCAGTTTCCTTTTCTTTATTGTGAGGTTAGAAATATTTGCCCTGATTACCCTACAGGGATTTTTTTTAAAGCATGTCAAAGGAGATGTGGATTTAAAAATCACTTCTCAAGGTGTGCATTGCTCTATAGCAGTAACTTGGTATTGTGATTATTCCCAGGTGATAGTATTATACACTTAGGTAATTCAGGTGTACTGTGTTTCTGAAAGGTTCTAGAGAAATTCATTTCAACAAACATTTATTGAACCAGGCCCAGAACTGGGCATGGAAGATACCAAAATTGTGTATGAGATTCCATCCCTGGTCTGGGGAGCATCTAAGTGGAGTGATGCAATTTCTAAGTACATCAGTATATAATTGGGAAGATATTTATGTACTTTTTAGATAATGTGATCTAGGAAACATCTCTCTCTCTCTCTCTCTCTCTGTCTCTCTCTCTGTGTGTGTGTGTGTGTGTGTGTGTGTACTGCATATTTGTCAGCATGATGTCTGCTCACTGGACTCTGAAATGGGCCTTACAGATCTTTGAGATACTGCTGTCTTTTTCTCCCCTCCTGAACTCTGCAGCCTGACCTGGGTTCTATCACTGCTAATTTCTGCTTAGGTATTTATTGATAACTGAATTACTATCCTCTTAAATCTGTCTGCATTTTTATAGAAAATAAGTAAAAATTGCAAATGTTAGAATTGGTATAGACTTTAAAGTTCGTCTAGTCTGATGATTTTAAAAAATAAAGTCATAAAGTCTTTTCTTCAGATGAAAGCATATTTGGAAACCTAATATATACATAAGATAAAAGCAGATCTGGTTGAGCCAGGGACAAAAGGCTTGAAGCTTCAACCTCTCTGCCCGCCAACAATACACACACTCACCTAGAAATGAGGAAATAGAGTCTTTGCCAAGTGAAGTGACCTGATTAAGACGGCGTGGCTAGGAAATGGCAGGTTTAGACCAAACCCAGGTCGGAGGTCCAGGCTTATTACCCCTTATGACAAAGGCCCTAACTAGATTAAGGCTGTGCCAGTGGAAGGATTCTGCGCCCTGGAACAGGAGGGCCTGCCTGCAGCCTAACCTTTGGCGGAAGGATTTGGGCTGAACACAGCTCAGAAATGCAGGACTCAGTGTTCAAGGATGGCTCCAGAAGCATCTAGAATGAGTTTGGTCCCTGGCTGAGTCTGCAAAAGGGAAGACAATCCAGCAGACAAGTAAGTTTCTTTTCTGTTCTCAGGGAGCAGTCGGCTTGCGTGCAGGAGCAGATAGGAGTTGCCTGGTGAATCCTGGCTCTAAAGTGCTTATTTCAGTAGACTGTTTCTAATGGAACAAGACAGCAGGGAATGGGGGACTTGGGGACCAGGCAGCTAATGGGTTTATGCTCTGATGGCTGCCTTTGATCTCATCTGCCATTGCTCTGAGCCCAAAACAAACCCCAAGCTAGCCAGAGAGATGGGGAGAGAAAACATCAACCCACCTGTCCCAGCTGCCCCTCCCGCCACCATCCACTCATGAAGAGGAGGAGTGTTGGAGAGGGGCTGCTAGCTACGACTGGGGAGAAAGTGCCTTAAAGCAAGTATGTTCCTCTAGGGGCTCCTGGCCAAGGAGGTGGGGATGGAAGCTGCTAGGGCAGGTGAGGATTGAGGACCGCCTGTCACCCAAGGCAGACAAGGAGGTAAAGGAGGAATGATGGTTTAGGATCCAGGATCCTGGTGTTCTAGCTCCAAGCAGTCAGGCCTGGCAAGGTACCTAACCTGGTGTCCCAGCAGGTGCAATAGCCTTACATGTTTCCTTCAATCTTTCCTGAAGCTCTGCCTCATTTACTTCACTGAGGTAGTTTCAGGTCATTATTTCTCTGCTCCAAACCTCTAGTAGCTGCTTATTGCTTCCCAAACTAAATCCATTCTCCTATCCAGGCAATTCAGCTTCTAGGCTCTGTCATAGCACACTTCTCAGCTTTATATCCCATCCATCCTCCAGACATCTTCGCTCCACAAACACTTGGGCTTCCCTCTAGGCCTCTGCTCTCAAAGTTTTCTGCCCATAAGTAGCCCATCCAAAATCCTACCCATTTTTGAAGGCTGTTGAGTCCCAGCTTCCTTCATGAAGTCTTCCCTGATCTCAATAGCATGTGATCTTTCCTTCCTAAATAATCCAAACTGACTTTTAATCTCATTAATGGCCAGTTGCTTCAGGCAGTGCCTGCATCTCCCTCCTTCGTGGATCTCCATATTATTTCTGAATAAACAAAGGAATAAACTCACTTTAAGTCTCAATGTCCTTATCTGTAAATAGGAAGACCTCTAAGGGTTGTTGTGAGGATTAACATAATTAATTAGCAATGAGCAAGCTTTCCGAGGACGGTAGCAATGGCAATCATTACTCTCTGTGGTTGCTGCAGGTTGGTGGCAGTGGAGCTGATCCTGCTGGAGATAGGGATAGGAGGAGAAGGAAGGGTGAGATCCTCTTGAGCCGCAGGTGATGGTGGTTTCTTCCTTTTTCCCATGACTTTTCTTGTCCATCTGAGGACTTGGGGATGGAACCATGGTCAGTTAGAGGGCTATCTCTGTGGGGGGCATCTGACCTAAAATTCTTCCATTTCATCAGTTGGACCTAGGTGCTCATCTGTTTCTTTGAGGCCCTTGAGGAAAGTTATTGCCTAGTAGTTACACTACGCCAGTGGTTCTTGACCCTGGCTGCACATGAACGTTATCTGGTGAAATTAAAGAAATGCCAAAGCTGGCTGAGTGCAGTGGCTCATGCCTGTAATCCCAGCACTTTGGGAGGCCGGGGTGGGCAGATTGCCTGAAGTCAGGAGTTCAAGACCAGTCTGGCCAACATGGTGAAATCCCGTCTCTACTAAAAATACAAAAAAAAAAAAATAGCCGGCATGGTGGCATGTGCCTGTCATTCCAGCTGCTCAGGAGGCTGAGGCAGGGGAAAGGTTGCTTGAGCCAGGGAGATGGAGGTTGCAGTGAGCTGGAGATCACGCCACTGTACTCTAGCCTGGATGACAGAGGGAGACTCCATCTCAGGGGGAAAAAAAAAAAAAAAAAAAAAGAAAGAAATGCTATAGCTGAGATCCTACCTGAGACTCATGGAATCAGAATCTCAAGACATGGGGGCCATGTTTTTCTTCAAAGCTCCCAGGGTTAAGAACCTATGAAAACAAAATGTTTTCCTGTGAAAACAAAATGCTGGTTACAAGTTCCAGATGTCTTATAGCCTTCTGTAAAAAAAGGGGGCGGTGCAGGATGAAAGAGAGAATTCTTTGATCACATATGTTGTCATTTGTTATGCAAATTAATTTTTAAAAATTAATAGTGATGTTGATTTCCAAACAAAGCACCAAAGGCTGTGTCTTTTCTTCTTTGTATCCCTCACAACGTTTAACTGATAGCCTCTGTTTGCCTTCTGCGCTCCATAAATATTTGCTTAGTGAATTGAAAAAGCTAGTGAATTTAGAAGGAACTTAGTTTAGGCTCTGTGTAGTTTTTGCTTTATTGAACTTTTCTTCTGTCCCAAAGGCCTTGAATAGAGAGGAAAATCCTACCTTTGATTCAGTTTGAGAATTATTGTCACTTTGGTTAGGCAATATGATTTAAAATTCAGACAGACCATGGGAAGTCGGTGGTTCCTAACCCCTAAACGTTTACCTCTACTGGTAGTACAAACCCTGCACTACCTTCATGTGAGCTTGCTTGTAAATGTTCTTATTTTCTTGTGCATGTTCTAACTCCTTGATGACATTGTACATTTTTGAGGAATGTGAGATATACTTTCTAGGTTTCTATTGCTGATTGGATCACTGGCTCAAATTTATTCAACTTACTTTCTTTGGTGAATACAAGACACTTAGCAGCAGTTCCTTAGGAATCTTCCCAAGAGCACTGGGAGACACAGAGGTGGTGGTGGGGAGCTGATGTTAACTTACAATAAGGGATGAGGAAGGGATAGTACAAGATACATTTATACAGCCATTCAAATCTACTGACTCTCTACTACATGCTGGGCTCTATGAGGAAGGTGCTGAAAACACAAGGCAGGCACAGCCTCTGGCTCTACAGATTTTACAGTTTCACAGGAAGATAATCTATTACAAACAAGTTTAAAACATAGATCTCAGGCTTTCTACCCAATTTTTGGTGCTACTGCAATGATTTGGGTATTCGAGTCTGCATTTTCAATGTGCTTGCAGAGATGACCATTACACATGTCCTTTTCCATTTCACTGTGTTTTCCTTCTGGGTGTGTACTTTTCCTTGCCTTTGTACCCCAGAGCTTGGCACAGTGTCTGGCTTGCTGAGTGCCCAGGGAATGCCTGTTGATTGACTAATGAATGGATTTGCATTTTTTGCTTGGCTCTGTTAGAGTGTAAGTCTTTAGCCTGAGAGCCATAGCTCCTCTTGCAGCATGGCTGAATAGGCAGTCAATAGTTGATAAAAATTTAAAAATACACAACTGACATTGTCCTAGGTGTGTAATTTGGTATGGATTTCTAGCTCAAATAAAACACATGAGTAAAATGAATAAAAGCAGAGAGACTCTAATGGAGTTGTGTTGTTATGATTTTTGGTTTAGGTTTTAGCTTCCGGAAATAATTTTGTTCCTCCTATGACATTTTTTTCCCTCCCTTAAGTTCATCTCACAGATAGGCAGTTTCAAATACTCTGCACTTGGAAACTGTTTCTTGATATAGAACTTGTTTTTTCTTGAGTATGCCCTCGTTGCCTTAGGCCTTTGGGATTGAGTTTACTCTGGCTCTGTGCTTTACAGTATTTTTTTTCTCTTGCAGCTAAATGTGGTCAACAGTGTCAGCAGTTCAGAGGACATCAAGCCCTTAGCAGGGCTTCCCGGGATTGGAAATATGAACTACCCGTCCACCAGCCCTGGATCGCTGGTTAAACACATCTGTGCCATCTGTGGAGACAGATCCTCAGGTACATGCAGAAGCAGACAGCCTGCTAACCTGCCCCAGAGAAGGGGTTGCTCACTGTCCACCTGAATACTTTGTACCCAATGAAAGGAAAGTGTCCCTTTAGGTTGGGCTAGATGGGAACCCACCTGTACATTTCTGTCACTGCATTCACAAGCTACCGTCTGGATGAATTTAAAGTATGGCTTTATTTTTTGAGGATGAGATTTACAGGAAACATTGCAGAAACCCCTCTCTGGAGTCACATTATTATACATGTATCTGAGAGAGAGAAGCTGTTGTGATTATCAAGTATTTTTGCTGGGTGTGGCGGCTCACACCTATAATCCCAGCACATTGGGAAGCTGAGGTGGGAGGATTGCTTCAGCCTGGGAAGTCAAGGCTGCAGTGAGCCGTGATCATGCTACTGTATTCCAGCTTGGGTCACAGAGTGAGACCCCATCTCAAAAAAAAAAAATAATAATAAAGCAGTATTAAAAAAAAAAACCTCCCAAATAAGCAATTGTAAAAAATAATGTCCTAATGTACAGGATTTGAAAGAACTAGAAAACTGCAAAGAAAAAGTTAAAAAATTACCCATGAGGTCCCCAAGAAAGATAAACCCTTTGATATTTTAGCATATCTCCTGCTATAACATTCTAGGTTTTCAAGATGTTTTTATAGGCAGGAACAAATGTGTTTTCACCATTTACCTTTGATTCTCTTCTCCCTTTCTCAGTTATTTCTTTCCTTGCTTCTTTCCTCTCCATTCTTTCTGTCCCATATTTTCCTCCCCACCAATTTTGAACACATCTGAATCTCTGATTTGACTATTTGAAGAACAATAAGAGGGGCAGGTTATTTTCTTTTCTATAGTTGTCCATGATGGCTAACTGAGTATTTCCTTATCTTCTTACTGTCACCAAAGCCACTACAGAATGTCACTCCATTGAAAGTTCTAGGCACCTAGAACTTACCTAGCTGAATGGCTGATGTTTGCTTGCTCTCAAAAAACACTTCCCAAATCATGCAAACTTGGTCATTGCCATAATAGCACATCACCCATAGCCCAACTGAGTGTTTTCTCTGCTATGCTTATTCTAGTTGAAAGTCTGTGAGGTTCATTTAAATATTGAAAAGCCATGGGAATGACTGTGCCAAACAGTTGAAAAATTGGTCCCATATATCTCTAAGACAAATATTTCAGATCTGAGAGCACTAGGTTTTCTGGGCCCAAGATAAAATCCTGTATTTATCATTGCCATGAGTTCAGCAACGTGAGAAGCCAGCCTCTAGTATGGTCAACTAATGAGTCACAGGCTGGCCTTTCCTCAGGCAGCCTATCTCTAACCATCATTTCATCTGAGAATGGCTTCCTCTGAACTGTGAGCTCCTGAGATGCTGGAAACCTAAGTGAAACAGAAAGTCATGTCACTTCTGTAGCTCAATGACATCACATATTACATTCAAGAATTAGACATAAATATGTTTTGAATGATTTGTTTCCTTATATTTTTGAAGTTCTACAATTTCAATCAATCAAGCATAGTGCCTGGCATTGAAAAGACTTCTACCTAGAAAAAGTATTGTGATTGATTCATGATGCCTGTGTGAGGCTGGGCTTGGTGGCTCTCCTGACACAAATTAGCCACCCCGGCCTAGGGTAATTAAAAACTGCTTGTGTGGAGCAGGTAATAAGGGCAATGAAATATGCAACAAATTAGTCTGGATAAAGCAAAATCATCTTCTTTTTATTTTTGTTTTCCAAGACAGGGTCTCACTCTATCACCCAGGCTGGAGTACAGGGGCTCAATCTTGTCTCACTACAACCTCTGCCTCATGGTTCAAGTGATTCTCATACCTCAGCCTCTGAAGTAGCTGGGACCACAGGCACGCACCACCATGCCTGGCTAATTTTTTCCTTCCTTCCTTCCTTCCTTCCTTCCTTCCTTCCTTCCTTCCTTCCTTCCTTCCTTCCTTC